TTTTTTTTTTTTTTTGTGATGATGTGCTATTTAATTTTCTCGATTTGATAGCACTTCAGAGTCCGTGTGATTTCGATACCTAGGTTTTTGTTTTGTTTTGTTTTAACTCAGCAAGTTTCTCCGACTTCTGCAGTGTAGTTTAATTGCCCCAAATGTTGAAGTCGGTGTATTAAATGAGTGGCACTTCGAATAGCCTGTTGGCGCTTTGATTAAAGCGCTCGGCTGTGAACCAGACGGTCGGCGGCTCCATCGCACCAGCTGCTCCGTGGGAGAAAGATGTGGCAATCTCTGGCCAGAATGACTACTGCCCTGGCAGCCCAGCGAGGCAGTTCTCTGTCCTGTAGGGTCGCTGTGAGTCAGAGTCGGTTAGATGGCTGGCTGTGGGGGGTTTGTTTTGGATTGGTTTGGTTTGTTGAGGCTTGAGGTTTGCAGATTTCTTTTTGCTTTTATAAAACACATTTAGATAGACTGTGTAGCATATTAACTTCTCTTTCTGATGTAGGCTATTGAAGAGGAAGGAGGCGATCCAGATAATATTGAATTAACTGTTTCAACTGATACTCCAAACAAGAAGCCAACCAAAGGCAAAGGTTGTTACAAGTTATGAACATATTTTCAAGTATATTTCGGTTATATAACTTGCCTCTGCTCTTGTGCCACTTGCCCTGTTTATCTAGTGCTCCTCTTGCTATTTCCCTCTGGCACTCTGCCATGTTGGGTCAAGGAAAGGAACTGTTAGGGTTTCCACACGCCGGGTGACATGCAGCCTTTTCGATTCCACGGAAGCCAACCTGAAAGTGAGACAGTACTTTACTGCTTCTGGAAAAAATTACAAAGTGTAGTTTCATAATGCTGCTTCTTTCCTAGTGTGAAGCTTGCAAGAACAAAATACAGTTTGATTCATGCCAAGGATAAAATAGTTTGGTACATGCCTACCTTGCCCCACAAATGGCAGAGTATGGATGGAAATCCCTATCAACTCTCTCACCTTGGCACTCTGCTCTTTCTATAACCTTTTTGTTTAGTAGTGTGTTTGACTTGGTGAACTTAATTTGGATTAGGTCATTATACGTTCTAATTTTTAGTGAAATCTGAAAAGACTTTAGGGATTATACTATAAAAGGGAAACTCCATTGTTAGCACCCTGTCTTCCACCCCTAAGTTTTCAGTTATAGGGAAATATTTAAGAATTTTATTTTATTTTAGCAGGGTGGAGTGGGGTGGGGTGGCAGGGGGGGGGGAGAATTTTATTTTATAGCTTTTTTAATTAGACCAAAATATATTGCTAGTATATAGTTATTCTCTGAATAAAATAAAAGTGGTTTAAAGTCATTTAGTTAATATAAATAGATTTTTAAAAACTTCTGGTAAGAGATATCTTTATTTGAATAATTACAAATTTCTCCTCTCATGAGGACAATGACAGGGTGGACATGATGTGAGAGTATTTGGATCTTGGTAGCTATCTGAAATTTGCATTAATTGCTACAGTTCTGACTTGGACAAATACAGCGATTTTTTTTTTTTTTTTGAGTCTGAACCTCCTTGATTCAAAATGCCATGCTAACTGTAGCTAACCAAATAATTAAAAATAGAGTAAAATAATAATTAAAAATAGAGTAAAAAGATTGAATGGCTGCAATTGAAGAGAATATTAATTTTTTACCTCAGGCAACCTGTTGTATGGGGATCGCCCATAGGTTTGGAGGTCTACCATTATTTTGGGGCCTCAGGAAATTGGAAAGGTGTAAGAAGAATATCCAGGGTCTGTATTAACAGACATAAGTGGAGGTGGAGTTTAGATGAGTAATAAAGTCTCTTGAAGGGTTTTTTGGTTTTGTTTTGTTTTTTTAATGTAACTGTTAGCCCAGTGTATCATTTTGAGAAAGATACTTCCCTATGCTTAGAGAAGCTTGTGTTGACAGGAAAAGGCTATTTACAAAATGGGCAAGCTCCTAAAAAATGTAGGAATTACCCATGTATTGTCTTGTGGTGGTTTTGATTCACATGCTTTCCTAAGCACATTATAGTTGCTTGATAGATGCTAGGATATTAACCAAAATTCTAAGTTACTTGAGTTCATTATAGTTTTTAACATTTAAATATCATTGGATTCAAATTAGCTTATAATTTCTCTTTTATTTTTCATTCATCTTATTCTTAGAAATAATTTCATCAATAAAATGTAGAGATTTCCCCCCAACATTTTATATATGATATGTAAATACATATGTAGATTCACATGTATATTAGTATATTCCTTTTTCTGTGAATTATAAAAGTGCTTGAACTTTGATTTTTCTTTAACTCTGATGTTTAGGTGTCTTAGAAATGTATCATTTGTCTGTAACAGCCTACTTAATACTCTCTGAGCATTATTCACATAGGATGTGCATGATAAACAGCTCTAATATCTTTGAGTTCCAATTGTCACAGTTAAGACCATAATATAAATCTTTAATTTAGAACTGAGGTTGAGTAAAAGTTTACAGCCAAGCTACTTAAAGATAAGATTATATAAAGGAGGAAGCTTAGAATTCTTAGAAATAAATTCTAGTTTTTTAATTACTACCTTAAGTTCTTTTTGTCAAATCTTATTTGAAAATAACTTCATTGGTCATATCACTTTTCCTTCCCTGGGACTCATCCCTCATTTGTAAAATTGGAAATCATACAATGTCATGTATAAGACTTTTAATTGACATTTAACAGCTATTTATAGCCAAGAGTCAAAAGGAAAATGCATTCTGTTCAACTAATGCACAGGTATATTTTCCATTTTCAAGAAAACTCCCAGTATAGCTAGCCCTCAACACAGGTTATTAAATGACAATGTGATTACTTGGAGGCAGTCACTCAGATGTCAGTCACACATGAGAAGAGTCACTTACTTGTCAGGGGATTAAAGAATTTTTATGATAATCTTAGCTAAATGTGTATGGTCATAAGAAAATGAGAGATGCTTAATGTGTTGGGAAAGTTACTAGTTAATTTATTTTATACGAAGATAAATGTGGGATCACTATTTCTTTAAAGGAAAATTGTGTTAAGGTGATTGTGTTTAGGCAAATTAAGAGGGAAAAGAACTGCATTCATACATACATTGTAAGTATTTTTAAAATGTAGTTACTAAAAGCAAAAACTTACACTGTGTGAATGGGTTTGATATTAATAACGAACATATTTATAAAATGTATTTTCATATAGTTATAATGGTGGAACAGTTTAGAGTTGTCTGAGTCTTTTATATTACTCTTGTTATTTTTTTGGTGACAATATATATAGCACGCTTGCTGTGAACTTTTGAATACCTGAAATAGAAGAAAGGTTGGCCTGGGAAGATTTACTGTCATATTTGGGTGTGTTGTGAAAGTGGTTAAACAGGTAGAACGCACTCCTCATTAGTTTTATAGATTTTAAATTTAAAGTTTCTTTGGAATTTTCTCTTTAAAGTCAACTTTAAGCTTAAGCAAAAATTGCTATTTTATGTGCTAAATCAGCCCTGTATTCAGAAGTATTCAATAATTTCTGGTGTTGAAATTTTCTATACTTTTTTTTTTTTTTACATTTTATTAGGGGCTCATACAACTGTTATCGCAATCCATACACACATCAATTGTGTAAAGCGCATTTGTACATCATTTCTCAAAAGATTTTCTCTCCACCCAAACCCCCAACATTAGGTCCTCGTTTTTCCCCTCCCTCTCCACTCCCCCCTCCCTCATGAGCCCTTGATAGTTTATAAATGGGTATTTTGTCACATCTTGCCCTGTCCAACGTCTCCCCTCACCCACTTTTCGGTTGTCTGTCCCCCAGGGAGGAGGTCACACACAGTTCCATGTAATCGGTTCCCTCTTTCCTTCCCATTCTCCCTTTACCCTCCCTGTTTCGCCACCCACACCACTGGTCCTATAGGGCTCATCCGTCCTGGATTCCCTGGATTTTCAGTTCCTATCTGTACCAGTGTACCTCCTCTGGTCTAGCCAGACTTGCAATATCGAATTCGAGTCATGGTAGTGGGAGCGGGGAGGAAACATTTAGGAACTAGAGGAAAGCTGTATTTCTCATCATTATTACATCTCACTCTGACTGGCCCATCTCCTCCCCGAGACCCCTCTGCAAGGGGATCTCCAGTGGCCTACTAATGGGCTTTGGGTCTCCACTCCGCACTCCCCCTATCATTCACTATGGTAAGATTTTTGGTTCTGATGATGCCTTATACCTGATCCCTTCGACACCTCGTGGTCCCATAGGCTGGTGTGCTTCTTCGATGTGGGCTTTGTTGCGAAATTTTCTATACTTATAAGGCTTAAGAAGGTCAAAATATTATGTAAAATCTGATTATTCCTGTTAAAGAAATAAGTATACTTAGAGCTTATAGGTTTAGCCACAGATCAAACCTAGCTTTTTACAGATCATACCACTAGCTATATATTTATAATTGATTACATGTGTACTGTGTAAAATGTCAGAAGACAAGCATATTAGTCAACGATGACATTACAGTAATCAACTCTATGTACTTAAAGTACTTTTAAGTTATTATAATTCTCCTTTTTTTAACAACTGTAAATTTCAATGTTAAAGAATTATGTAATTAGAACTCTGACATTTAAAAATACTTTGGAGGATAAAAGGAAGCCCCCGGTGTAGAGGGGTGATGCCCTGAGTTGCTAACTGCAAGGTCAGCAGTTTGAACCCAGCAGTTTGAGAAAGCGGTGGCTCTCTCAGAAACTCAAAACTGGCAGTTGTACTTGATTGTAGTGGGCAAATGGTGGTGGATTATAGGATAGACTTCCTGTATGTTTTACTTGGGTACCAGTAGGCTGAAAACTTCACGAGGGCAAGGCAATACAGTCTTTTAATTCACTTCCATCTCTGCAATGCCCAACACAGAGACTGGCTCAGAAATGTGCTCAGAAAATAGTTCTAAGTAAATACTGAAGGCCATTGAATGACTTCCTGATCGAGTGCTTTAAGAAAATGCCTCTTTTGCTCCGATTTTCATTGCATATTTCTTTTTAGGAAACAGGTACATTAGAGATTATTAGACTTTGATATCTTCCATCCTTTGTAAGGTTCCTTTCTCAGCAGCATTAGTGATTGTCCTTACATGTCGATATGTTAAGTGTACTTTATAACACTTGAGTCATTGCATCATCCTTTTATTCATCACTAAATTGTTGCTATCCTGGAAAGCCTCATTGGAATATTGTCCAACCTCAGAAATGTCATTATTTCATTTTAACCATTAAAAAACATACCTGGTGGTATGTTTCTTGCAATGAAATATGTGTCAAGCATTCTGGTGAGGAGATAGGTGAAAGTTTTATAGCACTTTAATGAGCTTCTCCCTAGTTTCTCAACCAGGGGCAAAGTGCTTTAGACTTTATCCACTTTTTATATTTAGGGGTCTATGTGAACCCATGTAAATTAAAGTACTGATTGTATTGGAATTAGAGATAAAGAAATAATTATTATTTGTGGTGGCATCACATTAAAGTAACTTAAGCAGGGTGATAGGGCTTGAGAAAGGCCGACATGACTGGTTTATTTTATCAGTCAGACTCCTCACCAAGTTCAGTAGAAG